CCAATCAAATCTGTGCAGATCATTCTAGAACTGGATTTTCTAATTTGCCCTTATTTGCTATATTCCCTGACTGTAATAAAAAATCACTGCAAAAGCCATTTTTCACTTCGATAGAATGTCTATATTCACTATGAAAAAATAATCAGTAATAATCAAAATATGCCTACAGTTTATTGGACCATACTGTAGAGTGAAGGTAACCAGAAATGTTTTTGTCTAAACCTGTTTTATTACATTAGATTTAAATAAACTATTATTTAATTTGAATAGGTAAAAGCTTTTTAACAAAAAGATCCGGACTTAATATTTAAATTTGGTCGGTTCTTGTAGTGTTTTTGAGCTTGTCAACCTTAAATTAATAAAGTTTTAATAGTTTTAATTTATGTCATATATTGTAGATTCTTTGATATTTTGGGTTTATTAGTAATAACCATGAGTTTTAGAATAATTTCGGTACCGGGTCTCGATTCGTACCAGACCGATAATACCCAGCCTATCAATTACGTTACATTACATCAATTTTGCGTACCCAGTCCTATGCATTACTATAGTTGTAAAGTTAAAGCTAGTAAAATTCTTGATGGATATAATCAGCTTTTATGTAAAAAAAATACAATTCAAATAATATTGCGGCTGTACATGTAATCTGTGTTAAATATAAATCACAAGGCATTTTAACAATAAGTCTTAAAATTTTTATCTTGTATACCTTAATTGTAGTTTTGCTCAATTAAATAATTTTATATAAGTACCCGGTCGGCTCCGGGTCCATTATAGCACGGTTCCCGGACCCGACTTTGTAGATCAGTTCGGGTACGGTTCTTGCTAGTGCGGAACACTAGTAATAAATATCTTATTCACCCACTCTGCGTGTATCTATCTATTCTCTACATATTAATAATAAATTCTCTCGCGTGTATTTATTAGTTTGTAAGCTTCTTTATACGAAGTTTCTTTCATTTTCTAATAGCGGTAGTATTAATTAAAAATTATGTATTTTATTGGTTAATTATCACGGGAAATCACGGGCAGATCTACTTTTTTGATACTGATCGACATGTAGATCCCGATAAATTAAACACTTTGAGCGAAGATATCTTGACATCTACTTGCTTGAATCTGATAAAACCTTTTCGCTTTGAATTCTAAAGATTTATAGAATTCAAATAAAAATTTTTTATCGAATTTAGCCATAAGGCTGTCGAGATATCTTCGCTCAAACCAAAATGCCTATCAAAATAAGTGTTGCGCAAAATTTTCTCTAACTTTGAGCGAAAATATTTCGATAAACACCTTACCAAATTCAATAAACCTTTTTTTGTTTGAATTCTATAAATTCATAGAATTCAAATAAAAAAATTTTATCGAATTTAGTCAAGTAGTTATCGAGATAACTTCGCTCAAATTTAGAGAAAAACCAAAACGTCTATCAAAATAGAAGCTACGCCAAATTTTCTTTCTAACTTTGAGCGAAAATATCTCGATAACCACCTGACCAAATTCAAAAAAAAACTTATTTTGTTTGAATTCTATTAATTCATAGAATTCAAATAAAAAAATTTTCACCGAATTTAGTCAAGTAGCTATCGAGGTATCTTCGCTCAAAATTAGAAAAAAATAAAAACGCTAATCAAAATAGAAATTTTCTTTCTAACTTTGAGCGAAGATATCTCGATAACGGTCTGACCAAATTCGATAAAACTTTTTTCTTTCAATTCTATACATACATAAAATTTAAATAAAAAAATTTCATTGCATTTAGTCAATTGGGTGTCGAGATATCTTCGCTCAAAGTTAGAAAGAAAATTCCTATTTTGATTGGCGTTTTTATTTTCTCTAATTTTGAGTGAAGATACCTCGATAGCCACTTGACTAAATTCGGTGAAAATTTTTTTATTTGAATTCTATGAATCCACAGGAGTCAAACAAAAAAGGTTTATCGAATTTGGTCAGATAGTTATCGAGATAACTTCGCTCAAAGTTAGAGAAAAATTTGGCGCAGCTTCTATTTAGATAGGCGTTTTGATTTTTCTCTAATTTTAAGCGAAGATATCTCGACAACCACATGGTTAAATTCGATGAAATTTTTCTATTTGAATTCTATGAATGCATAGAATTCAAATCGAAAAGGTCTTATCAGATTCAAGCAGGTAGTTGGCGATCAGTTTTTATAAAGTTTTATTTTTACCGGGATCTACATGTCGATCAGTATCAAAAAAGTAGGTGCAGGAGTATCAAAAAATGAATGGTTTGCCCCACTAGACCACGTGCCTATATTTTTATAGGGTAATAAGCACTTATATAGAATTGTATTGAAATATAATCTATGCTTATAAACTGGCAAAAAATATACAAAATAAATCTTTTAAAATTAAATAAATCGTTTCTGCATAAATCTACAAATATGATTATAAAGACGCTTTTCAATATGTTTACCAAAAAACCTATAAAATTCTTTATCGCAAATTTGAGTAAGTAAAATAATTGTATACAAAGTGCGATTTAAGTAGAATTACCAATACTAGGTTTACACAAAATTACTCAAATCACATAAAAGTGATACTTGTATTTCAAGAATAAATATATTATTGTGTTTCTGAAATTTTTACTTTTTTAGCAAAAAACCTATGGGTTTCTAAATAGGTACGATTTTGATTACATTGATTATCGAAATCTTCAATTAATTTTTGATAATCGCTCTGAGATATTCCCATATAGTCTGCCATATATGTAGCAGATTCATAAAATTGTTGAATAGCCTCCAATACCTAAAATAATTATGATTAAAAAACCGAAGGTCATGCTAAAATATATGCAATAATATTAAAACTTACATATTATCCATATCTTCCTGCCCATCCTCCTATTGATACATTCAATTTCCTGTGCTCGATATTAGTTAATTCATTAATTGATCTAATACATTTAGATATCTCTAAAAATATCTTTGGAACAATCCCATTTTCTTTTAACTTTGTATGACTATGAATAAAAGTAATTAATTCTTTAGAATACATGAATTTTAAATACATTATATGTATCAGTGTTGGATATCTTTATAAATCTAGTAATTGAATTGGACTTATAAATTCCAACTTGAATCTATAAGTTCCAGTTTATAAATTTAATGAATCAAATTTGGTCCAATTATTCAACACTGATATTTGTGTAAACTTACGAGCATCTTGAACACCTTTCATAGAATTTCCCAAATTTTTATAATCCATATTAGATTCGAAAATCTCAATCCATCCGTTGTATTTCGTTACACGTACTAATTCATGGATTACATTTATGTACTGTTGTTTAGTAAACGCTGACCACATCGATGACACATGAACATAATCAAACGTTTCGTCAGGAAATGGAATTCCCCTTATTAAATTATATTCCAGAAATCCTGTATTTGGAAGACACTTGATTGAATGTCTATATCAATAAATGTTGAATTTGGAAATTCGGTTCCCAAATCAAATACCCAACAACCTGCCCCACACCTTTAAGTAAATAAAATATTACAAATCTATTAATTAAGAATGCTCATAAAGAAAACTCCAAATTTATGCTACTACGTACCCAGCGTCGAGAACGTCAGCTTTACCATTTTTCAGCATATCTTCAACTGGTGCATTAAAATTGCCTTTCCATGCATATCGTTTTAGTACATGAGCAATCTCTATTCTCCTAAGTTCCATTTCATCTGATGGCATAAGGTAATTTGCTTCAGGAACATCTAAGAACTTCCTTCCACCAATTATTTTATACTGGTCCAATAATATTGTAGCCACTTCATTTATATCTAATTCATCATAATTTTTATATTGATTAAATATACTTCTTTTATAATTTATTTGTTTTTCTTTATTAATCATTTTAGTTTTATGTTAACAAAGATTTTTAAAAAATTCTATCCATTAAATACGTAAATTACAAACTTGTCTATATATTGCAAAAAAACTACAATCTTTACTAATTTACAACTAATACAGAATTTATAAAAAATAATTATATATTTACGAAACAGAAACAGTTACATAATGATTATTAATTAAGTTTTTAATCCTAGAAATTTCATTATGTAATGCAGGCAACTAGTGTTGCAGATAACCATAATGCGGATAATATGAAATGCCTAACCCCTAATGCTAATACCAGGGATGTACTGTACGTATTATACATATGTGCATAGCATGTACGTACGTACGAGCATAGGGGACATTCAAATCCGACAACCTCCGGGATCGACGTTACACGAGTATTTATATAGCAAGCCTACCGAATAATTGATTAGGGGCGGCGATTTTTTTGAACCCAATCATAGCGCTTTGCAAAAAATGATAATTATTGAGAAATTTCCGAGATTCTAAAAGTTAGACTGGACTACAGTCCAGGACTGATTAAGACCGATCAGTATGCAACAGGGCAGACTGATTGTTAAACTAATAAAGTGCCACATAAGTTTCACAAATATATTAATTATTATATTTCCCATTAATAGTATTATTATTGACTCCATTTAAGTTATTAGTTTATTACTCGTTTTATTACAAAAAGCTGCCTCTAAACAAATACTCAAACTTGTCTATTATTATTGGAACTGGCGATGGCATGTGCACGAATTTGAGAATCATGCACATGATTTTCGAAGGCATATTTTAATGAGCCCTGCACTGTAAATATATATAGACAGTCATTTTAATTAAATATTAGATAAGTATATCCAATTATTATTAAAAAAACTTGTTATTATAATAAAAATAGAGATAAAATAAGAAAAACCCCAATTTAAAATTTTAAAATTATTATCGTTGTCTAAGTTTCTAAAATTAACTTCATACATTCTCTTTATCTTCCATCACGATGTCCTGTACATTTTTACCAATCATTTTTTCATGCAAATATAAGGTACAGCTTACATTCTTAGTCTATTTCGAATTGACAATGTATTTTACAGCTGTTTTCAAAACGTGTGATCAACGATTTCCATATACTTATGTGGGAAATCGGAAATTTAGATTAGTAAAATTTAAATTTCGGGTCTTAGAAAACTCCGAAATCTGGGAAATATTGTGAATTCCCTATGCATGGTGATCTGCGAGCGTTGAGAAAGTGTGACTATTCCGAAATCCCAAAATATGGGTATCACGGAGATCCACCAACACGTACTAAATTAATCTAAACAACGCACTAAAACACTATCTAACTTAAACTCCAATAGTGGAAGGCTACAAAAGATGGTGGAAATACTTGGTCCTAGAGGTTGGAACCGATCTGTTGCATTCGAATTTAAAACCGGTTCAACCCGATTCGAATATTTGATATTCGAATTTAATAAAACTGAATTTATCGAATTTAATAAACCCGAAAAATCGAATTTAATAAAACCGGATTTATCGAATTTAATAACCCCGAAAAATCAAATTTAATAAAACCCGAATTATTCGAATTTAATAAAGCCGGACTATTTGGGAAATCAGATTTAAAACCTTACAGCTGTTATCATTATTCCTGGGACACATGGCACAAAATTAACCCGAATGATTATTCTGCAGATTCAATAAGTTATATATTTCGGGAGTAATAATAAGATTCAATAACAAATATCGACATATCAAATACTGTACGTATGTAATTTATAAGATCAAGTAACTAATATAAGACTAAATATAGATATGCGCAATTGTAAGTCGTAAAATTTAATCCTATTCTTTGGCACGATTCATTTTTGCTTAAACGAAGCCTTTATTTGTTATTTTTCGACGAAAATTTGGGTTTAAAAAATTGTATAAAATTTCAATTCCTATTCTTTGACAAGATCTAATTATTAAAAAATTGTGTAAATTTTCAATTCCTATTCTTTGACAAGATTCGTTTTCGTTTAAAGCCTTTAATCATTTCTAAATATTTTTCGTTTCTTGTCGATGATGAAAAATTCATTTTTTAAAAAAAAAAGTTTCGATTCCTATTCTTTGGCAAGATACATTTTCGTTCAAACGAAAGAATTTATTTATTTCTAATTATTTTTCGTTTCTTGTCGAAGAC